AGAGAGGGAGAGCGGGAGAGACGAAGTGCAAGAAGAAAGATACAGTTACAATGGCGCCCGCCCAAAATTGCAGTTACACACACGATTAAGGGCGCTCACTAATCAGAGTACCGTTGCAGCCGCATGAAAAAGCGCGTAGACAAAAGGCGCAGCGCGGCAGAAAAAATCCTAATTACTGAATTCCTAAATTCCTATCTAATGCGGAAAAGCAAAAAGCATACATTCCAGAAAGAAAGTCCAAAATTTCGAGAGCCATCGGGGGCTCAACAAAATTCGAAAAAGATTCAAAAGAAAATTCAAAAGAACGAAGCAATTTCCCGCGCGATGTCCACGCCCAAAAGATCGAACCCGAAACGAAAGAAACGACGTCAATATTTATTAATCGCGCGCGTGGTGGCACGCCAAACATCCATCCAACCAATCTCCCAGCCGGCCGTCCCCGGACACACCCAGCCCCGAAGAAGCGACGAAAAAGACGAAGAAGCAAGGGTACTGATGCAATTTTCCACCGATCCCGATTTCCCGAGAGTGGCCGAATCTTCCCAGCGTAGGATTCCTCGTTGCAACCGCACAGAAAATCGCGCGTTACAGAAAGTGGTTCGTCACATATGTGACGCCCAGGGGGTTCTAGATATTAGCAAGCTCCTGCTTGCTTGTTGACACGTGTCGATTTCTCTAATCGATCGACACGCGGAGCACTTTACTTTATGCCACTTACCGTTCGATTGCGTGTGGACGTCATCCAACGTGGCAACTCTGCTATTCTACTAGTTCCTCAGATTGGGCTGTTGACGATCCAAGGACGGGATCTTTCTCGTGTCGTCGCCACGACACGCATCCATTACTGCTGCATCAGTAATTAACCGGAAGGGGGAAGGGAAGGCGATACTCGTATGAGGGAGGGCATGGCGGCTTCATCGCAAGCTCGGGTATGAAGCGCCCGATCGGAGTGAGGTCATATGGAAGTTCTTGAAAATGGACAATGCGATGGAAGCGGGGGAACCTCTGGCCGCTGCGGGGAAGGGAAGCGAGGTAGTCTGGGTAAAGGGATACGAGGGTTCAGAGGACATCTGTGCGGAACCGATCATGGTTCTCGCACACGGGGAAGGTTTCCGTAACGATGCAGTAAACCTCTATCTGGTTACGACCTCGCCACGCGGCGCGAAGGAGAAGAACGTGGAGGGAGTAGTCGGGGACGGCGCACCGAACGGAAGGGTGGGGGTGGACAGTCAGTTCCAGGCGGGCGGAGTAGAAATGTCGGAAGGTGGCGATGGGGAAGGGGTTACGGGGGAAGACGACGCGATGGAAATACTGATTGAAAGAGAGATAGCTAAGAGGATGGTGGTATATGGATCGGGGACGAAGGGCTAAGCCGCTCATTGACACGTTGACGAATTGGGGGACGGGCGGGGGCGGAGGGGGACGTGGATCGGGATCGGGCTCGGCGCCTTGTCGTTGCGGCTCCCGAGGTCGTGGCAACAAGGTCCCCATGTTCCGGCTTGGGCGGCTCGGGATCCTCGAAAGGATCGTTCGGTGCGGGATCGATCGCCAGCCGCTTTCCTTCCGCGATCTCTTTTTTGCGCTGCGCAGCAACCTCCGGGTTCTCCTCTCGCCGATCCGGTCCTAGCACCCACTCGAGCTCGTCGTGCGTTGGCCCTGGTCGTCCCTCCTTTCCACTTCTTCGTCGTCTTCCTCCTCCTTCTCACTTTGCTCGCCCTCGCTGTATTCGCTATAGGCCTCTTCCTCTACCTCCGAAGTCTCCTCTTCTGCGTCTTCTTCTTCTTCTTCTTCTGCTTCTTCTTCTTCTTCTGCTTCCGCCGACTCTTCTTCTGCTTCTTCTTCTTCTTCGGCTTCCGCTGACTCTTCTTCTGCTTCGCGCTCTTCTTCCTCGTCCTCAGCCAATCGGGCCGCTGCTTCCCCGGCCTCTCTCCTCAACTCTCCTTCTGATTCCTCTTCGGCCTCCTCTTCTGCTCTCAGCGCCGCCCACTCGAACGCCGTTGGCTGCCGAAAGATGCGGGGATTAGTCAGGCTGTGGACGTCCAGGTACTCGCTACGGGAGGGAAAACGGTCGTCCGCCCAGCGTTCCTCGATACAAGCTGACCACTAGAGGCTCGGGGCGAGAGTGCTTGAGAGGTTATGCGGAACGGGCTCTTCGTCACTCTGAGAGATGATATCAAGGGGAAGTTCGTCGGCCAGTCACGCGATCACGATCGTAAGTTCGTGCACGATCTGTGATCGGTTTCCCCGATCCACTGCTCCAAAGATGAATCACTGAAGGTCTCCCGCCATGCAAGTCCTCCATGCCTGAATGACGAGCAACTCCACAATTTTCGACGCGGGCCTCTGTTTGCCTTCCCACGTCCAGTTCAGATCCACTCGTAGCAGGCAAAACGAAAGCTCGACTAAGTCTGTACGCCACAGCCTCCAACGGTCCGGATCAACGATGGGTACTGTCAGTGGCTCCAGATGGAAGGAGAGACGAGGGTAGTGAGAGGACTGCCAGAAGATGGGGAAAAGAGAGGGAGGGGAGAACGTCGAAATTGGCGCATGGCTCATCTGCGCGGCTGGAAGGGAGCAAGTTCTGGGAGGACGATAGGTGGCTCGCGTAGCGTCGTGCGCAGCGTGTTGACTTCGATGCCGTCGACAGGATAGCACTCGTCACTGTGCCTTGTGAGCCGTCGATCTCAATCAGTGGCCAGATCGCGACCCCACCGGTATAAGGTGCTTTTGATGGCGGCTTGTCGCGCCGGATCGAAGGCGGTGATGTCGCCGCTGAAGACTACCACGGTAGACACGTGGCTGATTCCCGGGGCCGCTCGCCGTTGAAATGCCGTTGCCTCGGCCAGCACCACTACCTGGGGATTGCTCGTGAATCGGAACTCTGCCGCGCCGTATTCACCCGCAGTGCAGAAGAACTGCGCAAGGCGCATGAAGTCGGGGCTGATCCGCGGATGATGCACTTGGCGGATGGCTGAGATCTCTCCCCGTGGCATCAGCAACTGATCACTGAAATCTCGCTCGATGGCGAAACTCATGGCGATGGCGGGGGTGACGGGGTGGCAGAGAGGGAGCAGGAAAGAGAAGGAGATGGTGGAGAGTCAGAGTTGCCATCGTCGGCTTCCTCAAGGAGAGAGATCGAGGGAGAAGGAGACGGAGCAGAGGGGAGGAGTCGAAGATAGGATACGTGGCGTGTGATCGGACGAGCCGATCGGCTGCCGGAGACCTCGGGCGCAAGTCGCACGGTGTTCACACCGTTCCGTCCGAGTTCGATCATGCGAAATCGCCCATAAAATCGTGGCGCTAGCTTACCCTGGCGAGCACATTTCCTCACCTGCACGGCGTCCCCTAATTTGTACAAGGTCCGTGGACCCGCATTCCCATTTCGGGCCTCGTAGCTCCGGACCTGTCGGCCCTGGGCTAGTTCGGTCATTTTCTGTCGTTTTCGGGCTAGCCTGGGCAATGACCGTTCCATTAGCTCTAGGTGTCGTTTGGCCTTGTCCCTAGCCGTGGCCCTGGTGGGCCGTCGGTTCAATGTAGACTCGTCCGGGAGGCTTGGTATTGAAATGCAAGCGACGCTATTGGTCCTTAATTGGAAGGGGCTCAGCCCCGTCGATTCGTGGGGCATTCCGCGATGGACCGCCAGGATGTGATCGATGATATCGGGCCAGGGTCCCGGATCTTGGGCCGCAAAGTTTCGTCGCAACGCTGTCTTTATCACCCGGTTAGCATTTTCAACCAGCCCATTGGATTGTGACATGTGGGGTGCAGTGTTCCGTATGGCGACGCCATGTATGACGAGGTTCTTTAACACTTCTGCGCTGAATTCCGCTCCGTTATCGGTCAGGATCTCTTCCATATTCTGATGCATCCCGAGGAAACGGTTGACATATCGCGCAATTTTCGTGGCCTGCCACGTGCGACAAGGATACTCTTCGATCCATTTCGAGAAATGGTGGACAAATACCAATAGGACTGAATATTCGCAACTATTAGGGTCAGGGGGCACCACTATGTCGGTAGTGTCCATGCTTACTCTTTGAAATGGTCGTTCAACAACCGTGGGGACTATCGATCTTGGCGGCTGAATAGGCGCCTTATCAGCGGCGCAGACTTGACAGTTGGCGACAATGTATTTCACATCGTCGCGGATATTGGACCAATACCACTCATTTTTATCGATAGCGGACTCCGTGATCCGCACGGCAAAATGGGTTGCAGTTTCCTCGTGGGCTATCTTAACCCAGTCATACCGCATGAACGGGTGCGGTACCACCATCCAAATCCCACTGCCGTCCGTTTTTCGTTTTTCTAATCTACCCTCTATCCATTGATAATCCCGATCCCTTTCGTTGGCCCTCCTCCGGTCTTCCTTGGTGAAATCCTGGAGAAGGTTACCTACTCGGGTGGCAATCAAGGCAATATCCGTCCATACTTCGGCCCTTCTAAACTTCCGGGTCTTTTCCAATCCTTCTGACGTGGCATCCAAAAAGCGAGCCTCGGTTGGAATCTTGTGGGTCCGGCACAAGGGGCACAACCATGGTTTATTATCGTTTCTGTATTGGATGCACGAGCCATGGGATCATGCAACACACTGTCGGCAATCTATCCAATCCGCATATCCTTCCCCGTTAGGACGCATGGAGACCGCATATACGCGGGAGTTAGCTTCGCAAAAGTAGCAAAATTTGTCAGGCAGGGAGAGGAGAGACGAGGAGGAAGGGGGAGAAAGAGGGGTAGTGGGGTTACCTCCATCACCCATCACCACCGGTTTGCTTCTTGCCACGTGGGAGAACTGTCACTTGTCCGTATTTCGGCTCGTTAGTCAGGTCCAGCTCTTTCCACGGTGTGATTTCCTCGCCCTTTGTTACCTTGGTAGGTCGATGCAGACGTGTCAGCCCGTCCGCGTTGCCATGTCGTTCTTTCTTTCGATGGACGATATCGAAGTCGTATTCTTGCAGTGGCACCGCCCAACGACCAATCATGCCCGTGTAGTTGGTGAGTTTCTTCACTGCCAGCAAAGGCTTGTGATCCGTTACGAGGCGAAACTTTTGTCCGTAAAGATATGGATGGAAGTGTTGGATTCCCCAAACTACCGCATAGCACTCGCCTTGAGGTGCGGAGTCGTTTCTTCGTTCGTCCGGTACAGTTCGAGACGCGTACTCGATGACGTGTTCGCGACCATCGTTCCCCTTCTGTGCTAAAATAGCGGAAATAGCTTCCGGTTGCCAGTCCGTGATGAGAATGAACTGCTTCGAGGGGTCCGGCCGAATCAAAATAGGGGCCGTTGCCAGAGCATCTTTGAGGGTTGCAAAGGCCTGTTGGTACTCCTCGTCCCAATTGATAGGCTGGTCCTTCCGTAACAGATTCGTTAGTGGTCGTGCAATCGTGGCAAAGCCGTTGATGAAGCGCCGGTAGTACGACGCCAGCCCCAAGAAGGCTCGAACCTGCGTCGGTGACGTGGGAACCGAAGCTTCCTTCACCGCCGCAACTTTTCTCGAGTCTGGCCGCAATCCTCCACGTGTCACGACATAGCCCAGGAACGAAATTTCCGAGAGGAAAAATTCGCTTTTTTCAAGCGCAATTTTGAACCCAGCGTCTCTCAATGCACCCAATGTCCATTCGATGTGTTGCGCGTGCCCGTGATAAGTCTCCGAATAGACCAGGATGTCGTCCATGTACACGATCACGCAGAAGTTAATCATTCCCTGCGTTAGCCGTGTCTTGTTGACGAAGTTCTGGAACGTCATGTTCATCGCTCGCTGAAACGTGGCAGGCGCATTCCAAATCCCCATCGGACACCGAACCCACTGCCACGTAACCTCGAACAACACAAAGGCCGTTTTCGACCGATCTTCTTCCCTCACCATAATATGATGGAAGCCATGCCGAATATCAAACTTGCTGAAATAATTAGCGCATCCAATCGCATCCAACAGATCATCAATTTGGGGGAGGGGATACACATCTTTGATCGTGATTTCATTCAGCTTGCGATAATCAATGCAAATGTGAATTGCTCCGTTTTCTTCGGAACTAATACTACGGGAAAAGGCCAAGGTCCGGTAGCGGGTTCAATCCAACCACTGGCTCCGAACTCCTGAATTCGTTCGAGAGCCTTTTTGCGTTCAATCAGGGAATAGTGATAAGGTTTGCAATGAATTGGGGAGTGATTTCCTATCTGAATTTCATGTTGGATTACTAACGACAACTCGATGTCAGTGTCTGACACACTAATTGCTCCTTGGTATTCCATTAGAATATCCGCAATTACCTGGTGGATTTCATCCGGCACGTATTGTGGCACATGCAGTTCGAAAAGTTGGTCCCAGATCCGAACGTCAATCTGTTTCGTGTTCGTTTGTTTTGTCAAATCGGGTGGAGGCGCCGAGATGAATGAATGATCCGATCGCCATGAGAACATCGTGGCCATCATCAGAACATCTTCTTCTCGGATTGCCACGTGTCCTTCCGGGGTAACCCCGTCACAAACATCATGCCACGACACTTCCTTAGTTGCGATCTTTATCCCCAATCCGTTTGTTTCTGCTTCGAAACGCCCAGGGGATTCCAGAGAGCTTGCTTCCGCCCCCAAACGCAACAATCTCACTTCTTTGGCCGAGGTTAGTAAGGACTTGGGTAGATCCGTAATATCAGAGTAATGCTTCTTGTCGCTGTACCGGGCAAGGAGAGGGGTGATTCCTTCGTACAGAGTTTGAGGGGGTTCCAAAGAATCGACCATCCTCGAAATCTGTACGAGGGGCTCACCCAAGATCATCGCCTTGGTTCTTTGAATTTTTCGGCTTGTTAGTTGCATCGTTCTCGCTATCGTTTTGGGCGGAGGGTAACAAACATGTTGTCGTGCCAATTTCAGGATCTCCGGATCATCTTCGTCACTGCTTTCCGCCTCATCAGTTGTTAATTTTTCCTCTGCGGGTTCATCCCAGAAGATCATGCGGAGAGTCCCTGCCATCATCGGCGAAACTCGCAGAACCACGTTAATAGTAGTGTGAAGGGTCAATCGCATGGGCACAGCGTAGGGTTTTCCTCCTGTATTTCGGAGGACGATCGATCGTCGTTCGAGATCCAGGTTTGCTCGTAACGCCACAAGAGCAGGAAGTCCGAAAAGAACGTCGTACGTATTAAGATCTAATACTACGACATCCTCAAGCGCGTGTATTTTTCCTAATCGGAAGGCGACATTGGTCATTCTCCCCACAGTTTTAATATTTTCCTCATCTGCCGAAATGAGCTGATCTTTCTCGGTGAGCATGGTCAGGTCGTTTTTCCTACCGGCCCTTTCGACCACTCTTAGTGAGATAGCCAACACAACCGCTGCTGAATCTATTATCGCGTTGTAAGGAATTCCCCAAATTTCAATATCACATTCTGCGGACTTCCACGGAATCAGTTTAATCCGTAAGAAGTGATCGTCTTTCTGAATTAATCTCACCCGTATTGGATCCAGAGTGTTTGTTGGGTTTTCTTCCGGCGCAGGGCCCGTGGCTTTGGCACTTGGTGTTCGGGCGAGGGCAAATCGCTTTCGGTTTGCTTTGCAATGCTGTAGCATTCGCTCATTGGCTTGCTCAGAGATCGAGAGTAGATGACCCATCGGTAGTGGAATCCGATGGTCTAAAGCTCGGATAATGTTTAATACATCGATTTCTCCTGTGACGAAGGTGGGTCCTCCCGACTCCATTTCTCCTAAGGACGGTCGCCACTCCGCCACCTCTTTTGGTTCCGGCGCTGGTCTGATTGTTCCGATCATTCCAAGTCCAGGATATCCCAGCGACACATACTGATCTAGCGGAATTAGCTCGGCGGCCTCTTCCGTGGTGGCCAAGGCACTTCCCCCACCCTCTACTTCCATCAAGGCTCCGACTCGTCCAGGTCCGTCGGCGATGGGGGCCGCAGCCATAGGTGCGACTCCAATCCGTTGTTGTGGGGGTCGGTGGGGGCCGTCACGGGCTAGATGTCCGGGCTGATGACAGGCGTAGCAAACATTCACATTGTTCGCAAATCCTTCGAAAGCGGGGGCAGGAGCTAATCCTTGTTGCATCGGAGGGGCACGGACCGCAATAGGTCGCATGTTCCTCATCATGGCTTCCAGCCGAGCATTGTGCTCTCGCTGTTCCTTTTTTCTTTCTTGGATCAAACTAATCAAAGTTTTGGTTAGTTCGAAAATGACCGCCGATTCGTTTGATCGTACAAGAGCCTCTACCCGCGGCGGGGGTAATGCCCTGACGGGCGGGGGCATCATAGGAGCAGAGATGCTCGGGGTCTCACTTAGGATTGCTCGTTTGGGGCCTATCTGTTCCATATAGGTGACAAGTCCTGATACGAACCCCATGTTTTCAAATTTGTTCTGTAAAGCAGCCAGTTCTGCTCTTGCTCGAGCGAGCTCGGTCGAATCTCCGTCTCTAGGGTAATCTTATCCTTCCAGGAAATTCACCACGAACCGTTCCATTTCTTCCAAAGCAGCCATAATTTGTTGCAGCGTATGGGTGATGGGGGAAAACTGTTTTCGCAGCTTAGCCCTTATTGTTCGACTGCGGAGTCCGTCAATGAACAGATCTCTCCCTACTTGCTCACCTCGCTCAGTTTTTACGAACATTCGGCAGAACCCGTTTCGATATTCCGCAACGAATTCGAGCGGTTTTTGCACTCGGTCCTTGATCATGTACAGCGCTTGCTCAAGGTGGACATAATCAAATCGATTCATGAAATCTCGTTCGAAGGTCGGGAGGTCCACCCATACATAGGTACTATACCAATGATGAGCGTCTCCTCCCATTCGAGCCGGAATGTGAATCTGTGCTTCGTGATCATCGTACTGTTGTGCTCTAAGCATGGCCAGCCATGCTCCTGCGAGATGGTGGGCCGGATCAAATAGATAGAGATCTCGGGGCGACATGGGAGCTCATGCACGTGGGGCAGGTTGATTAGGTAGATTAGCATTTTGTTGTGGAACCGGATTTTGCACGTTAGCAGCCATATTGGCTGCTCGTCGGTTAGCCGATCTGCTTCTGGTGACGATAGGGTCGCGTCTATACGCGTTCCGAGGGCGAGGTCGCCCATGGTTAGCCAGGTCGCTTAATTAATGTGCTATCAATCCTAAGACCCTAGCCACGTGTCGGGCTCCGATACCAACCTCACGCCCAGCGCGACTTCCTGATCGGAGTGGGGTGTGGGCCGGGAAGTGCGAAAAGGGGTGTGCCAAGGATTTTTGGGGAAAGTGGGGGAGTCTTAAGGGTATGAAWGCAATTAGGCGAKTCAGGGGTGCGTGCGCAAGGGACTCACGGTCTGATGRGGCCGGGGCACTGTGGGCGACGGGYTACGGGGAAGTCCCTCCGTGGTGGAGGTGGTCCCGAAAAGTTAGGCCGTCGGGGGCYGCCACGTGGCGCAGGTCRCCRCGTGCCTGGGTTGGGMCCTCGGAATTCCGGAGTTCTCTGTTCGCCGCTACGTCGGCAGTTCACGCAAAACGTATTGGGCCAGTAGGGGGCTATGGCCGGCCACGGAACAACACTGAGTTGATGATACGGGAGAAGAAGGCGGAAAGGAGGGAAACTGGTGGTGATGACAACAAATCCCGGGTGAGTGAAGTAATAGGTGTGKTCGGGGGAAGGGAATTCGGAGCACCGAGGGTCGCTAGAGGTGGCRCAGTGGAATTCCCGCGGACATRGCCGATTCTCCGTGTGACAGGGGTATCGCRTCCTTATGAGYTCGTTTATCATAGGGGTGAAATAGTYCGGGTCATASGATGAGTMYGAGTTCCAAGATCGYGTCATGGTATCATCTTCGATGGGATAGCTCGGGTCGGGATATCGCCACCGCGCACGAGCACGTGTAGGGTAGGCAGACTCGGTGGCGCCTCCKCGTGCTCGTACGGGTTGACGGTTCSGCCGCGAATCCTTTTTGGGTGAKCTAATCGACGCACGGGAATGCRTGGAAGGGCGCGACTYGGATCGCGTCTATACGTGTTCTCRCGCGGMGTTCGCGGGACCAGACTTCGGATCRTTGATTATGCAAGATGCAATCATATCGCAACCCCCATCGTGGGATGAGCAAAAACGAGAGCAACAATCGTTATCGGGGCCAGATTCTCATCCCATCTACCGCTGCATCAGGTGTGGGCAAAGATTTGACGCAAACAAAAAGCAGGGACAGGGATCCTTAGTA